GTTCCCTTACTTTTAATATGAAGTTAGATGCGAATCAGCGCGCTTCAAGGTATGTCGAGATAGCGGAGGGTTAACAAGTCGCGGCCACGTGCGCGCACATTCCTCGACCCCTCGTTCCGAACTCGAGACCGCGCGGCATCGGCATCCGAGATGGCCCCGGCGAAAACGACGGACGTTTCCCACACGCCAATACATTCTCGAAAGTTGGCGCAACTATGTGAAAGAAGAAACCTTAAAAGTTATCGCGAAATTAGAGCGGACGGCTCCATCTCGACCGTCGCCCGTCGCGCAGCTTGCCGGCTCCCACGGCCCCGCGGAACTTTTCGTTTCCTCCTCGTGGTTTTGGGAAATTGGCTTAGCGAAAGTGAAACGAGCGAGACAACACCGCCGCTACCGTCGTCGTCGCTCGCGCACGGCGAGTTAGCCCGATCCCGGCTGGGATAGTTACGGAAACCTTCCTCGGACACGCTAAGGCGCCGTCGCTGCCGTAAACGTAAAATATCACCAGGTGTCTCTTATACTTTCGCGCTAGGACGTTTCGGTATATTCTCATTTCGGCGCATCGCGCCGGGGGGACGTTCGGGAGGACGTCCGGCACGATCCTTTTTGTACACGCGACTCACACGAGAAAGAAGGCGCGAGTAATATATTCGAGTTACCACACGTAATCTCGCGCGAGTCACATTGTGTATGCGAAATGCGTATGTGTGTATGCGAAATGCGTATGTGTGTACGCGTGCGCGTGACCCCGACTGATATCTCTCCGGAAATGAATACCGTAACAATTTCCTGTTATTGAACATTTACTAAGGCGCTTCCGTTTGTGAGGCCGAAAGCAGCTCGCGCGAGGCGAGCGATTTCACGTGCGTCGGCGTAGTGGAATCATCGTGGAATTTAATAGGATTCGCAAATTCGATCTTGAAAGCTCGCGTACTTTTGCGTCGCTGAGAACTGCGAATGCTCTTGCAATTGATGCGAAATAATTTAATGAAATTCGAATCTCTATTCGTGAAGAAACGTCGAAGAGGAATTGGATATTAATTGATGAAAATTTTCTTTCATTGAAGTAATCTGCAAGTCAGTAATCAAAATTGATCAATCGTCGTGCATGAAATTGCAAATAATATCATCAACTCGTGAAATTAGTTATTAATCAAACTTTGGTGTGATTCATTATATATTGATTAATAATTAATTTCATTAATTAAGTTATATTTGTGATTATTATTATGACGATTAATTAATTTTAATTATTTATTTGCTGGTTATTTTAGTGAAGAAAAATTTTCATCGATCAATGTCCAACACTGGCGTCAATTTTTTAACGCGACCTAATCGTGTGTTTTTTAATTAAATAAGAAATTATTATATAACAAACCAAAGCCTAAAAGATGTGTGGAAGATTTTTGTGCCGGGAATTATTCGAGAGTAGAAACCGGCAGTTTCGACACTAACCGAGTCTCTTTTGATTTGAGCGTCTAGAAATTCTCATGATATTAACTCTAGAATCTTAAACATGCATAAAATTTACCAAGACTAACTTTTCAAATATTACCATTTTTCAAATATTTTTTCATCATAACTTTTTCTAACTTCATTAAATGGCAAAAATATTAATAGATTCCTTAGATTCATATTCCTCGATGTCTTCTACACTAATTAAAAAGAAAAGCATTGAATTTTGATAATTTTTATGAAAGTTATGAACAAATGAAAATGCGTTGGGGGTAAAATTCAGCCATGTCCAGGGTTAAGATATCGTCCACAAAAATTGTGACTTTTTAACATTTTAATGCATCTTATAATGCGTAATATATTTGTTATAATATGCAAGAATACTATAAGAAAAGTGACGTTATCCATGTTGAAAAATGTTCAAGGATGCTTGAGTCGCAAGAGATATCCGAACGAGGTTGGGAGGTTAAGGAAAAAAATCACCTCCGATCGGATTACCTCGCGAAATATTACCTCTCCCGCGGCGAAAATATTCAGCTGGGAGGATACTTCGAAGGGAGAATCGCTCTCCGGTACTTGACGAAGATTACCGCGCGATGATGTTCGCGTAAGTGCTCCGGATCTCTGCGTTTTGAATAATACTTTTCGCGCTGCGCATACGAAACAAGCTCGCGACCAACTCCGGAAACCACCGTGTTATCAGGATAGTTTCGTTTCTTCTTTTTTTTTCCTGGCTGAGACGGAGCGATGCGTATAATCGAATGTGCGCGTCCTCGTTAACTTTCGTTCCAAGCCACGTTTCACGATAGGGGAAGGACGGGGCCAGGGG